CGTTTTTGATGGTTATAGTATTATTAACGTAAAAGGTGGTTGGCTCGCACTAATTTGGATATATAAAAAAATTTATAGAAGAGTACAAAACTAAATTTATTCATTTAATTCACGTCTTAACCGCTGATTAACATTTTAAACTTGTTAACCACGGAATTTCCATTCGGATTTTTAATTTTAAAATCTGTCAATCAAAATTCTTCCTCCCCCCAGCAAACTGACCCGAGGGCGGAGCAAGTTAAAAACCTGCCCACGTTCTCCGCCTCACCTATCCAAAAACCTTTGTATGCCAAAATTTTAAGGAAATCTATCAAAAAATATTTTTTGGATTTTAAAATTCGTTTCAAATGTTATTCTATTTGAAATAATTTTACGAGAATATTAGTTTCGACTCTTATCTAGATTTGTCAATTATATATGTGTGTGTGTGTGTGTGTGTGTGTGTGTGTTTATTACTAGATTATATGTGTGTCAGAAATGTTAAAAAACTAGCAGGAATAATTATCATCGTTATCACAGTTAAACAATATTGATAAAAAAAGCACATATCTGTTTGTGTGTTTATGTGTATGTATGTGTGTGTGCATGTGGTGTTCTCCGAAGAACTCTCTGAGCATGGCCCCAGGAAAACCTTATCACTTTGACACTTCATTATCGCTCGATGTTTACAAAGAACTGAAAACAAGATAGTGACGCGTGCAAAAAGATTAAAATATTTTCATGATGTTTACATGTTATTATTATTATTATTATTGAGGATGGATGATGGGATGAGTTTTAGTTTACATGTGTTTATGTGTGTTTGTGTCTGCATGTGTTAGTGTGTATGTGCGTGTGCGTGTGATTACTGCTTTGAAATCATTATTTTCAATAATGTTTAAAAATACATAAACAAAATTAAAGATTTAATGTGTCTGTGTGTGTGTGTTTGTGTGAGTGTATGATAAATCAAATAGCAGTAGTAATAGTAGCAGCTGCAGCAGTAGTAGTGGTAGTAGTAGTAATAGTAGTAGTAGTATTTAGAAATATTCTATTTTTTCAAAAAATAGAAAGTTATTCATCGAATTCTTAAAAATAATTTAATAAAAAAAGTGTAAACTGATACGTTGGTGAGTTGAAAGAAAATCTTATATTGTGTGTATAAGTGTGTGTAAATGTGTGTGTGTGTTTGTATTAGTGTGTATATATGTTTGTATGTGTGTTTGTGTGCATAATTTTGTGTATGTGTACACATTACATTAATGTATAAGTTGTGTTTGTTTGTGTATTTAAATTTGGGTATATATGTCTGTGTGTGGAAGCATCTTAGCATGTGTATCGGTGTTTGTATGTGTGTGTGTGTTTGTATGTGTGTGTGTGTGTGTTGGATGTTTATTTGTATATGTAGTTAGTGTATGTGTGAAATTGAAAATGCACTTGTCAGTTCAGTAGCATATGTGTATTGCACGTGCAAATGTGCGTGCGTGTGCGACTGGTTTGTTTGGTATGTATAAATATTTGCGTTTATGTGTGTGTGTATGTGCATATGTGTGTATAGTGCAAGTAAGCCTGCATACGTATGTGTATATAGGTATGTTTGCGTGTGTACGTGCATTTATGTGTATATGTATGTGTGAGTGTATGTCTTAATTTGGTATAGAGTTTATTTTAAAATATTTGCAGTTAGCCTAAGAAAAACATCTTGAAGTGGATTATCGTGTGCGCGTGTGTGTTTGTGTGTGTGAGAGAGAAGGTACGTGCGTGTCTGTCTGTGTGTGCGTGAGTATATGTGTGTTTTTTGTACGTGTGTTTTTGTGTGTGTTTGCATGATATCGATTAGGAGGATGACGATGTGAGTGA